TATACTTCAACAATACTAGAAACCTTATTGAATAGACAGAAATTGCAAGGGAAAAAAAGAAATACTAAACAGATAGTTTAAGTCAGGAAGAACATGCTGCCTTTGCACAAGCCACCCCAGTAAAGCAACTAGTTGTTACATTAATGAAAATCAGAACAATCCAGAGACCCGATTGCTTTGTTGTCCATAACTAGGCCAGGTGTTTTTTTTAAAAAAGAGATAAATAAAATTTAGTGAATGCTGCAAGGTCAGGAAGGAGAAGGAAGATTGAAGATGAAGTAACTTTTCAGATAGATAATGTAAATAAAAAACAGGTAAAAATATTATATTTACACACAATGAAAATAAAATCATTTTTTAAGTTTTTAAACTTAAAATAAATAAAATAAATAAATATAAGGAAATATGTCACTGTATGGGACTCTGATAATAGGTAAGTATAAAGTCTCAGAGACTTCCAAGTCTGATTCTTTTAAAAAATTCAATTATGTTGAGAAGAGAAACCTTATAAAAAGAGTTTGAAAGGAAAACACTGAATTATGAAGGAAGCATTAAGGAACAATAACTAATTCAAGATGAAGTAGAAATCATGTGGATTATTCATTTTGCTTGGATACCTCACAGCTACTGGCTAGTTTGAGAGTTGTTCAGGTCATAAATTCCTAGAGACTGAGGGAGAGTAACTGAATTATCCGTCTATTAATCAGAAGGGAAAAGGGAGCCCTGGTAATTAAGTAGCTGTCACATGCACTTCAATACTCTGAAAGACTAGTGCAAACCATCAAACAATCAATTTGTAATCACAGAGAACTGACAACAGAGCTCTGAGAACAGGACTGACAAGCCTTTCAGAGAACAATTTTGTTTCATGATAAAGAGACAGGAGGGAGAGATAAGAGGGACTTCAAGAGATAGAGACTGTGGAATTCAGCAACATATTTTCATCTTAAACCAGAAATTCCTTGAACTGCTGACCTCAATATTGCAGTGTAGTGTATGGTATCCATGCAGTCTTTAAAATCATTTGAATTAAAATAGATCTTGCTTCACAAATTAAACACTCCTCATATCTTACAGATATCTGAGATACTTTCATCTACAGTCACAAAAGAATTCCACCTCTTTTGATGGGCACAAACCTGATTTCACCCCATTTTATAGGACTGTCATAATATGAACAAATCAGTATGGCTCCCCTAGTTTTTGAGACAGTATGTCTGTGCACATAAATATTCTTATCAATCATCTCCTTAAAAATGCCGTCAGGAGAAGAAGTCTTGCCAAAATAATCACTTTGCTCTTATATTGAATGATAGACTCAATCTTGGCCATCAATTTATCCTATTGATGTGTTTGGCATAATTTCTTTAGAATGAAGTTGATGAGTTTTATAATCCACCATAAGAAAGGAAAAACTGCTATCATCCCTAAATGTGGTATACATTCACTGGATAATTCATTTCTTCAAAATTCAATGGCATTATTTATCTCCACCAAGTGCACGTCTCCAAAATGAGTATTTTATTTGAGGATCTTAATGCTTTCATACAGTGAACACTGTTACACTTCCTTTGGTCTTAAGGAGAAAGGACCTAATAATTCAAGATTGCAACGTTCATCAGGACTTAATTTTATATTGAAGTCTTCTTAGATAAATTCACTAGTTCAGTATTTAACCATTTCCATTAAGCTTTGACAAAACTATATCACAAAAATACTGTGAAAAGCCAGATTAGTTAGAAATGGAATGTGAAAATAGCCCTTTCACTTTAAAAAATAATTATAAAAAAGGAAATAATAACAGCCCATAATTCTAACATGACTACAACATGTTTTCTCACTAAACATAAATAAATACAAGGAAAATAAAAAACAAAAGCCCTCCCCAGTACTTTTTAAGTGTATTTCATGTAACTATCCAGAAATATTAGATGCAGAACGAATATTGCTATTTTTGTTATTTATTTCAATCTGCTGATAAAATATGTAATAGCCTAGTTTTAACTTTTTATTTTTATTTTTAATTTTTAATGTTTTATTTATTTTTGAGAGAATGAGAGAGAGAGAAAGAGAGGATGAGCAGGGAGGGTCAGAGAGAGAGGGAGATACAGAATATGAAACAGGCTCCAGGCTCTGAGCTAGCCATCAGCACAAAGCCCGACATGGGCTCGAACCCACAAATGGATCATGACCTGAGCTGAAGTCGGACACTCAACCGACTGAGCCACCCAGGCGCCCCATAGTTTTAACTATTTTTAATAATTTTTTGAAATCAGTCCACATTAGTAGATATAAATATGCATAATTCTTGGCTAACACATAATATTCCATGGCGAAGATGTCATTAATCAATTAGATATGAAGATATGATGTATATTTAGATTTTAGCATTGACTTTGCATTGAAGAAAAAAGAAATCCTATAGAATATTTATATCAAGAATTAATTGAAGCACAAATAAAACAATTTAAATGATATACATATTTTTAAAGTCAAGTACACATGAGAGTTTTCTCAGAATCAAATAGAAAAGAGATACCACCCAATCAGCTTACTTCGGAGCATTAGGGGGTAGAGTTTTAGGAGAATTAAATGAGATGATTGATGCTTGTAAAACCTTGGCCAGCTGCTAGAAAATAATCAGGGCTTTAAAATGTTCATTTTGGAAGCAGCCTGGAGATGGTGGTAGAGCGCCAGTGTGGGAGGCTTGTCTGATCCCAGGGAAGTCAAAAGGAGTGGAAGGAGGTTGGGAGACCTAGGAGATTGGAATGGACCAGAAGAAATATCATCGAGGAGAGGAAAATGGCAGTTATGGTCATGAGGTAGGAGGGATGTTTGGGAAAAGATTAAGGCAATGTGCAAGCTGTTCTCAGGAGAGTGAAGTGAAACAGTGCACTGGGAAGTGGCTGACAGACAGGAGGCTGGGTGATGCAGAGAAGGGGAGAATGATCTAGAAACAAAAGAGAATAATGAGAATCACTTTCTTTATCAGAAATGTGGACACTCTCTATAGAGAATTCTTGCTAAAAATGAGCTTTTTTAAATTCCTAAACCATGAATGAAGTCTTAAGAAATACATGATGCAGAAGAAAATATATTCTTTGAGTTGAAAATACTAGCCCTCTAAAAAGTGTTCCCAAATCATTGATTTCCCCAACAGTATCTCTTATTATACAAACCCTGGCCCAAATAGTGGGAAAGAATAGAACAAACTGAAACTAAGATTCTCACAGCTGTAGAAAGAGAGGATATAATATAATGTAATATAGTATATATACTTATATAGTACACTAAATCTTTCATTAGTCCCCAGGGGATTCTCACTAGTCTTTGTAGGAAATTGTTATTACACACAAAAGAGCTCACTTCCAGGTTGAACAAGGTGAAAAGAGAAAGCACAAGTAAAAGTATAATTTAATTACTAAATCTAAGGGACAAAATTTTCACTGGCATGAAGACTATAAGAATTCAAAGTTCTATATACTGTAAGTGCTCTCAGTAAAGGCAAGAAATAAAAATTGAAAAAATACATTCTAACATCCAAAGGATGTAATAAAAAAAGAACACTAGCTGTGTCTAATACTTTATTTAAATTTAATTATGCCCCCCAATTAATTAATTATGTTCCTCTCTTCAATAATCTTTTTCTTTGCAATCTAAGAATTTCTATGAGATATTCAGATATAAACTATAAAATAATCATTTAACCCATCAGGAATACAAGCTTTGTAATAAATATGATTATGCAGAAATATGTAAACAGTTTCCATTATTTAAATTTATTTAATAACAGTATGTGTGTTATGTTAAGCTTAATTGGCTAATAATATTTTAAATTAAAAAAATTAAGCTTATTTATTTATTTTGAGAGAGAAAAACAGTGCATGTTGGGGAAGGGCAGAGGAAGAAGAAAAGAAACAGAATCCCAACCAGTCTCCTCAGGGTCAGTGCAGAACCCGAAGGGGCACAAACTCATACATAGAGAGATCATGACCTGAGCCAAAATTGGACACTTAACCGACTGAGCCACCCAGGTGCTCTGCTAATAATAGCTTAAATGAATTTATCACTCTTGTGGTAACTAAACCACCTATTTTTATGTAGAGCAGGCATGTTTGTAAATCACAAAGCTTAACACCCTATCTTTCTTTTTGAAGATTGTTTAAAATAAAATACACTAAAACATTCAAATCCAAATGCAATCCAAGCTTAGTTTTTATAATAATCACCAGCACTGGAAAATCAAAAGACCAATTCCCAGCCAGTTATATTGACTACTGTTATATACTACAGAGGGGGAATTTAGGACTTTGTTAAACCCGGCAGATTACTTCAGAGTGCAATCAGTACAAAGTTATAGGAAACTATAACTTTCCTTCAGTTATAGGAAGTAAAGGGAAAGAAAATATCAAAGAAATTCTAGACAATGAGGGAAAAAATGGCAAAAACTTTTGCCTGAGCTTGAGAACAGCTGACGACACACAAATAAATAATGCCTCAAATAGACACACATGGAAGTACCCCTCTTCTTTCAAAGGTACACACACACACACACACAACACACACACACACACACACACACGAGACACTTGTAAGATGGACATATTAATGCTGCTGAGACCCGCAATCGTGTATCAATGAATCTTTGTGTAGCCATTCACATTTTACTGAATTTCTTCACTTTCTAAGACTCACAAAGTTAAACAAACAAAAAAATAGGATACTTGACAAACAAGATAGAAGGCAAATAATACTTAATTGTTGGTAAGTCCGAGTAAGGCAGAAGGAAGAGAGAATGGTCCAATACCACAGACTGCTATCACATTTCTACAATGTCAAGAAGATTCGAATTTATTTCTAACAAACTAGAGAGGTGAAATTGTTGTATACTCTAACCTCTGTGGCAAAGTTAAAACTGAGGTGGTCCATTCAAGACCTGGGAAAAGAAAGCAGGGATGAAAGAGGCCATTATGTTTTCATAACCATTACGCATCAAATACCTTTTCACTCTATCTTCCCCGTTCCAACATGGCTGTCCATCGGCAGCGGCTAATTCATTAACACAAAGCGCATCAGCCAGGCCTCCGTAGAACGTCCTGTACAGTCGAAGGCTGTTGATAAATTCCCTGAATGGGAAAATAACGAAAACAATTAAAACCAAAACTCCACAACAAATGCCAATATAAATGATATAACTTGTTGTGGATGAAGCTTAGAATTCAACTTATTTTAAATATTCACTGCTATTTGTTACATATTCTCAATACTTTTCTAACAATCAAGGTAAATACTAAACTTCTTTAAAAAAGAATGTAAGTATTCATATTTACTCTTTGGAATCAAAGTTTTCACAGGGTAGGAATTTTATAGAACTCCAGTCCAAGAGTCATGAGGAATACACACACACACACACACACACACACACACACACACACACACACGCCCCACTGTATACAGTATCCCTAAGCTCTTACTAGCTGTGGCATCTAAACCACACTGACACTAACTACTTTCTTATCCATACAGAAATGTCAGAGGCTCTTAACAAGCTAATTGATTGCTTACTAATTAAGTTTATTAAACTTGGGTGATTTTCCTACCTGGTTCTTCTCTTTAGTGTATAAGATCATAAAATAATATGTCTTTACTAAGTATGAAAAAAGATATGTACCATATTTCAAAAGCATGAAAATAAAAGTTGTTGGAAGGTATAGTATTTAAAACATTAAGTTTTTTTCCTCTCATAGGAAGAACATCTCTTTCCTCCATCAATTATGGGAAGGGAAAATTGAACAAAAAAGTAGCTTGCCTTTTAACTTAAAAAATTTCAAGTTTTAAAATCAAGGCTTTGATGTCCCAGGCACCTGAGCTTTAGCATTTCAAAAAACTTAAGTACTAAAAACTACAGTTTTGAACTTTTTTATATAAACTATTGCTTTGGACAATGAAATGAAAAGCTACTAGCTTAATAAAGAGGAGATGCTGTTTGGGACAGGGACAAGAGACAGGGACAGGAGAAGAAAAGCGAGCAGAAATCTACAGGTTGAGGAATTAAAATGTAGCAATTATGAAAGTGCATCCCCCACTGATATTTTGAAATAATTTCATTAAAACTGGGATCAAAGAGGAGGAGTTGCTCTAAAATACAGCTGAAATGACCACATTTTTAAAAAGTAAATGTGGTTTTGACAGCACTGATGCTCACCTGTATTTCTTTAATGTTTATTTATTTATTTTGAGAGAGAGCATGCACATGAGGGAGTGAAGGTGTGAGCTGGGGAGGGGCAAAGGGAGAAGGAGAGAGAGAATCCCAAGCAGGCTCTGCAGTATCAGTGCAGAGTCCAACACAGGGCTCAGTATCAGGAACCGTGAGATCATAACCTGAGCTGAAATCAAGAGTTGGACACTTAACTGACTAAGCCACACAAGTGCCCCCTGATGTTCAGTTTTATTAATTTCACAATTTTCTCTCTTTCTTGTTTTCAAAGAACTGTTTGTGGAAACGGCTGGAGTTTTAAATAATTACTAATCCATAGGCAGGATAAATGTCATTTTCGAATATGTAACATCTGATATCCTAGAGATCAGAATTTCCCACAGCAAGTGTTTGGTGAGTATTTAACCAGATTTTTAGCAACACTTCATCAGGAAAGTGATTTTAAAAAAATGACTGCAGAAACATAAATCTGACTCACTTCTAACTTATGCTCAACCCAAATAAAAAGTATGCTATATTTTCTAACTAGCACACAGTATCTACTTATTTATACTTATTTATGCTTTAAGTTGGTTTCCTCTACTAGAAAATAAGTTTCCCCAGGAGGGCCATATTCCTACTAACTGAAATGCATGAACAAATACCAAGTCTCATGTTGCAGCTACTAAAACATAATTCATGAAGACAACTGATTCTTTCCTAGAGAGATGGGGTTTAATAAGTGGAAAGGTGTGTGAGTCCTGTCCTGAATTCTGTTCACTATAAATAACCACCTGTTTAGAATCAAAGAGTCTTCTAGAAATGACGAGGCCTGGCAAAACAGCTGAAATGTTGAGATCTCCAAATTGATGGTACAAAACTGAATAGATATTTCTTATCTGCCTCAAACCTCCTCCTCAATCTTAGTGAATGGTGCCTTCACAACCAATAGATCATCCTGGGAAAAGCTTTACCTCTTCTTTTTCCAGTCCTCTTTCCCAATGTTACTCTCACAGCCTCAGTTGAAGTCCCTATCATCTCTCTGGAATGACTGCACTAGAATGACATATCTTTAATCTCTTCCTTAACAATCACCTCTCATCCTCCAAGAGCCGCCTCTTCAAATTCAAATCTGATAATCCCCAGACTATGTCCCTCACTTGCTTAAAGCATCAATGGTTCTCTATTATCTACAGCATCTTGGAAAGGCACAGAAGGCACTCTCTGACCTCTATTTCGGCAGCAACCCAAACCATACTTTAGGCTTCCAAAGAAGTGAGATACTTGCTGTTCCCCAAACACACCTTCATGCCTTTGCATGTGTTCCCTCTGAAAGCAGCTCATTGTAGACTTCCACTCATTCTATACACCAGCAACTACCAGTTATTTGTCACAAACTACTAAACACTATTGAGTCCCAAGCTCAGTGTTGGTACCATAGCTAACTAAGACAGTCCCTACCTGCTAAGAGTACATTTTCTGGTGAAATTCCACAATAATACCACAGTGTTAATAGTGTCACATGTGAAGACAGAGAAGGAATCAGGGGAAATGTACAAACAAGATAATACTTTAGTGTTTCATGCCCAAAAAAGGGGAAGGTGGTAGAAGCAAACAACAACAACAACAAAACAATAAGCAGAGGTAAAGAGGAAAGAGAATATTGTGTGTTCAGATACTCATATGAAGTTTAACTAGTAGGAAATAGGCTTATGGAAATTACGGTTAAAAGGTAGAAAGAGGCCAGTTTGTAATCAGCCTTATTGATCATCAAAAAGTGTTTCTATTTTGTTCAGAAGTCAGAGGAAGCCATTAAAAGTTTTCCAGCAAGCCGGTGATGGCATCGTGACAGAATCATGTAAATAGGTAGAAAGTCAGTGAGGTCACTTAGGGGACTATAACCAAGACTCAGGGGGAGAAAATGTGAAGGTGTGGAAAAAACATCTGTCAGTGAGCACCATGAAAAGTGATAGAATTGAAAGACATTAAGAATCTAGAATTGACAGTTACTGTAAAAGTTATAACTTCGAATTGTCTTTTTCAACTCTCCTGAGGTGACTGAGGGGATGATTATTATCTCAGTGTTATTCACTACATTAAGAAGGAAAGGAAGGGGAATACAACTCTTTCAACCTCCCACACTATACTTAGAATTTCTTTCTCCTGCTTAATATTTTCATCTTTCTATGGTGCATATCACTTTCTATTCTAGTACGCCATGTACTTATTTACTATGCTTTCTTGTTTCTCATCTGTCTCCCAGTCTAGAATAAAAGGTTCAGGCAGGCAGGGAGTTTTTTTAGTATGTCTTGTTCACCAGTATAGATCTTAAAACAGTTGTGAAGTAAGGTCAGTCTTTAGTAATAAATTAATGAACAGGTTAAAACTAATTAATAATTAATTCTATTCTCAACATGTTTGGTTTATAATTTCTTTGGGATGTACACAAAGAAATCAAGTAGAATGTTACTTTCAGACTTACTATGTGTAACACCATCTGGGGATCCTGCCAAAATGCAGGTTCAGTTCAGTAGTTCTGAAGTGCAGCCCAAGATTCTACACTTCAAAGAAACACTCAGATGATGCTAAGGCTACTGGTCCAAGAACCATGAATACCATGGATGTGTGCTGTTGGATATGCAACCTTGGAGCCAGAGAATTGGACACGTGATGTGAGAGGCATTATCTACAGAAGTGGTGACCAAAGTCAAGAATGTGGATGAAATCTCTCAGGCAAATAGCACAGAGTCAGAAAAAGTCAAATGAACTCAGCAGTAGAAAGAGCAAAGGAAGAAAATCACCAATGATAAGAGCTGTGAACATTCAAAAGTAAAGGAATTTGAACCTAGAGAGATTCTCCATGGTTTAAAATGCTACTATGAGAGGTTACTTAAAGTAATGAAAAGGTCCTCTATATGGGGTCGCTCAAAAATTCGTATGTTGAGACAAGGCCCTTAAAAGGTACATAGGCTCAAATGAGACATACGCATAGCTCCTAACCCAATATGGCTAGTGTCCTAATGACAAGAAGAGATGCTAGCAGCGCATGTGAACAGAGGGAAGGCCATGTGAGGACATGCGAGAAGGTGGCCATCTACAAGCCAAAGAGAAAAACCTCAGGAGAACCCAAACCTGCCAATGTCTTGACCTTGGACTTCTAGCTTCCAGAACTGATATCTGTTGTTTAAGCCACGTGGTCTGTGGCATTTTGTTATGGCAGCCCTAGCAAGCTAATACAATATTTAAAGCATCTGAAATGGATTAATAGACTTCAGGTTTGCAGTATGATGAGTATTAAAGAGAGAGTAAGAAACTATAGGTCCCAAAGACGAACATGAAGGGAGTTTGGGTTGAGTATATGTTTGTCTGTTTGAATATGCAAGAGATTTGAAAAGATTTGTGTATGAAAGGGAAGGAGATAACAAGGGTTTGGGGTTATTAGCTTGTTCCCAAATATCCCAATTCTCAACATTCCAGGCTCAAAGCCACTCTGAAGCTTTAGTATGTGACTTGGCTCTCAGTTCTAGTAAATGTATGCAGAAGTGATGTTTGTTCCTTCCAAGTTTAAGGTTTAAGAACCAATGTGGTTTGGCCAGCTTCTGTTTCCCTCTTCCCAATGACTGGCAATGTTTTACATGGAGGCTACTTGGTCATTCTGAGGCATAAAGCAGGTAAACCTGAGCAGTGCCCCTGTAGATCTAAAATGTGCATAGGTTGTGGGGGTGCCTGTGTGGTTCAGTGGATTAAGCCTCTGACTCTTGATTTCAGCTCAGGTTATGATCTCAGTTTGTGAGTTTGAGCCCCATATCAGGCTCTGCATCAACAGTGAGAGAATCTCTCTGCTTGAGATTCTCTCTCTCTCTCTCCCTCTCTCTCTCAAAAATAAACATTAAAAAAAAACAAAATAAGATGTACATAGGTTGTGGGGGA